CCGTTTTCGGGAGAAAACGAACTCATTCGCGCGTGCTGGCTCCTTCACGCCACTGTTATAAATCCGTCGCGAGACTGTGCGAGAATTTACGGCTCCGGGCTTAATCTTTCTCTTATTCTCTCTCTCTCTCTCTCTCTCTCTCTCTCTCCCTCTCTTTCTCTCTGTCTTTAACGCCGATATAATATGATTTCGTATGACGTATCCCATCGTTTAGATTTAAATCGACTGTAAAATCCGCTGCGCGCACGCGCGCGCGAGGTCGTTGGCGCCTCGCGTTTATCGCGGTATATTGTTCCCGAAAAGGGGGAGTCCGTGATCGTGCACGAGTTACGTTTTACCGTCTCGAGCTATTACTGCTTGGTGCCACGTGGCGACGATCGATCTCCTCTTTCTTTCTCTCTCTCTCTCTCTCTCTCTCTCTCTCTCTCTCTGGCACTCCTCAACGTTTTCTATGTTACAACTTGGCGCGGTAACTAACAACATTCTCGAGAAATAAAGATCACCTCCGGAGTGCGTGATCGCTTTATCCCGACGGAGTCGTAATATCGCCCGTTCGAGAGTTGCGGATCTGCCAAAGTTCGCGAGCTCACGATTACCTGAATTATTTCAATCGCAAGATGCGGATTTCCGGCGACGATGCGAGTCTAGAAATCGCCCCCCGCGCTGCTCGAGATTTCCGCTCGCGGACTCGTTACGATCGGCGCCCATAAAAATCTACGGGGACTTTCCGATTAAGCACTTTGGCCGTCGATGACTCGGCGGAGACTCGCAGGAAGTGCGTTACCGAACTCACGTTTATACGTTTCCCCCTTTAACGAGAGAAAAAGAGGGGGGCGAGGGGAACGAGAGGGAAAGGAGAACTTGCACCGCGCCACGTCGGCCCTCGACGGCCGGCCGACGTTTCCGCGCCATGAATCCTTCGGCTTCGAAGAAGGCACGTAAGGGAATTTTTACGACTCTCGGAACGCCGCTTTCTTTTATTTTTACGTCAGACTTACGGGGCATCTGGAAACGTTGATGGCGCAATTAACGGCCGGAAGTGCTGCAACACGGTCAATATTGTACCTACCCACCCGCCCGCCTCGGCAGCCTCGCACAGCCTAGCCAGAAGTCGTTCCGCGGAATAACGAAATAATGAAGACGATCTTATCTCGCGAGCTTTTAAGCGGAGGAAACCCGCTGAGAAGGGGGATGAAAAGGGAAGAGGCAATCATTGCACTTGAAAACGCAGAGTGGTCCAAATTAGCCCAATTTCATACATTTTCATCGCCGTGAATCGGATTACACGCGATCGTTCAGCGGAACGAATCAGGTGCTGCGTGAGGGCGGAAGAACAGGAGGGCGCGAAGGGAGGAGGAGAAGTGAATAGAAAACGGCGACCGCGAACAAATGCGAAGAGGAGCTTCAATTGTCGGCTGCGCGAGCGAGGGGCGGCTGGGCGGAAGGGCAGCGCGACGAATGAATAGAAATTGCAATAATTCAAGCGCGATTCGCGCGGCCCCCCCCCCTCCCGAGTGACTAACGTATTGTATTATAAAACAATCCGTCCTCCCCCCCATTCGAGCGCGCGCATTCGCACCCGAACGCTGGAAAGTCCGAATCTTCTGTCTCGCGCGCATCCGTCCGTTGACCGATCGATCGATCGATCGATCGATCGGTCAACGCCCGCGTGGCGATAATTAGCGTCCGCGAATCTCGCGCGGCGGACTGCATTCCCCGGTCGTCGGAAGCAGCAGCAGAAGGAGGAGAAGTGGAAGAGAAGTCGCGCGAGAGAGCTCGCGATGGTGACTCGCTTCGAACGAAACTACTCTCCTCGTGCTCGTCGAGCCGCGTAACTACGGATTGCGACGTTGCGGCGCAAGGTTACGGTGGGGTTGCACGCTGAAGCCGGGACATTGTTAACAGCATTGCTGCCTAATTAACCGCAAACGCTTTCAGTGGGTCTCGCCTGGTCTATTGTTTACATGCGGGCACGCCGTCCCCCCCTCCCCTCTCTCTGTGTACGTAGATGCGCGTGTATACGTGTTCGGCACCGGGCCGCTCTCCACGACCGAAGCAGCTGAAATATTTCCATGGAGATTCTCTCTCCCTTTGTGACACGACCGAGCGCGCCCACGTTCGCGCGGATATACGCGGATATACGCGTTTCCATGCACGCCCGCGATACGTCGCGCCGCGGAAATAACGCCTGATAATAACGCGCTCGCGTCTCTTGCGAGAGCCGAGTGTCCTCGTCGCGACGAGATTTCGTCGGCCGGCGACCCGCGAGACTCGGCCCGCCGCACACTGGGACGAAACATAGGGATGTGCGGACATCGTACTTTGCAGGCAAAATATAGCAATTAGCGAAAAGCTGAATATTGGGACGAAAACATTTGGTCAAAAGACGACTATCCATAGACAAAAGATTAACTTTCCAAATGTTCAAAAAATTATTGTTCAAACAATTGGTTGAAAAATGCGAGATGCAAGGAAACTGATAGCGTTATTCGATTCCACGGGAACAACTACATAGAATCCATGATCAATTGAGGAAATTCAGGTCTCTGGAGAATGTTGAACCAAAAAATGTCATCTGGCCCCTCGCACAGGGCGGCGCTCCCTCGCACGAAGATCCTCAGCTCTGATTGACGTGAACCGTCGCCGCGTTTGTATGCGCTGTTTCGCTCGTGCTTGAATCGCGAAAATTCCACGCGATGAGATATACAATAAATTAAAAATTACAATAAATAATTTAAGATAATAATTAATTAAAATAAAAATAATTTAATTATAATAAAATAATAATTGAAGATTATACAATAAATGAAGACGTTTAGAGCAGATTTACTCGATACTTGATGCGTGTCAACTTCAATATCTCCCCTTAATATCAATTTTATGTAACGGAGTTAAATGACTGGTCTACGATTTGCCTTCAAGTTTACCGCCGAGATTCGCCTCGCGAGTGTTCAACGATAGAAAGCGTCCCCGCGTTCAATGTTCCTGTAACCTTCTAGCGCGGTTCAGCGCATGGCAGATGTAATTGTTATTTTCCGAGAGATTCCGCTAGATTTTAAACCGTGTACGCGATAACCGATACGCCGTGAGATCTTCGCGAGAGAACGGAGAGAAGGGAGAGAGAAGAAGAAAGAAGCGAGGGAGAAAAAGAGGCGGAGAGTCTCGGAATAATTTAATAATCTTGCAGTCTGATTGCGGCAGCAATCAGATTGGAAAATTGATTAGCTGGTCTGGGGAGCAGCCGCGCGCTTAAGTACGCCCTGCCTCCGGCACGAACATTGTTGACTCCAATAAGTAGCACTCGACTGCCGCCACATCGGCTCGCTGCTAGCCGGTATTCTTGATTTTTGGAATATCGTTAGCTCGGCGAACTCGCGCGGCGGATGGAAACACCGTCTCGCGGTGCTCGCGCGACGCGATCCCGCGAGATCGAAGGCCTTCGGCATTTTATCTCCTATTAATATTCTGTGTCTCCCCTCCGTAATTTATACACAATTTCTCTCTTCATCATCACGACTCGTCGGAAGAGGGAATCTATTAGCAGTCTTTCTCTCTCTCTCTCTCTCTCTCTCTCTCTCGCGCGCGCGCGCGCGCGCTCTCCTCCCTCTCGCGTGCCTCCAACGACCCTGGGAAGAATTACTTCCATTTTCCTTTGTCCACAAGGAAGCTGCTATCGCGATAAAAGGTTCCCCGGCGAAATAAGTTATTCATAATCAATACCGCGCGTGAGCCTCCAGACGAAGGCATAGCGTGCCTCGCGATTCAAAGATCGTCCGTAAATCAATCGCCCACGTCATTAATTTTATACTTCGGCCGAGGGCAGTGGGCGGCGGGGGAGGGGGTGGCCGAGGGCCGGGCACTGGGACGGGAAACTCATTAATTACATCATTCGCATAATAAATCCGCGGTAAAATCGAGAACGGAATATAACGTATCCTGCGTTCTCTCCCGGGGGAGTCGCTTTTACACCGCCTCTGTTTCCCGGCGTAACCACTCGTCCGCTCGCCGGTGTTTGTTGACTAGAAAAGCCCAGAGAGAGAGAGAGAGAGAGAGAGGGAGGAAAAGAGAACACACTCGTGCGTTCGCACGCGAGCGTGTGTACCTGTGGGTGTCACGTTGAACGTTCCGCCAGGACGCCACGTGCGTTCCTCGCGTGTCCTCACGCAAACGACGTACGCAAACCGCTAAGTTGGCCCGCGCGAGGCCGCTCGTGGCACAACTTTTAGCGAGTATGATGACAGAAATAAAGACGAATTAATGACATGAAATAAGAAAAATGAACGGGACCGGAGAAATGACACGAAGCATGCGAGACGAGCAAAAATAAACGCCGTGGAAAATCGATGGGAGAACACAAAGGAGGGAGGGAATTTACGCGAGGGAATTTTATCGCGCGCAAACTGATGAGAGTCGAGTCATACTGATGAGAAAAATCGAGTTGGTTCAGCGATCTCACGTAGGAATTCAGACTCATACACAGCTCAGTTAAAAAGTTGGGAAAACTTAAACGTTGTATGTATAATATAAGTGTCTTCTCAATAATCGAGAGGTTGATTTAGCTGCATAATAATACGGGTAATTCTACCTCCGATGAGAGGTTTCAACAAAGCAAACGATAATAACGACGTTCGATGTTGGCTCGATTTTGCCTCGATGGCCTCCTTAAATTAAACTTCTAGCTCGTGTTAAACAAGCGGAGCGTTTAAAAATTCCAAAGTTGCACCGAAAAAATCGGGTCAGACAGTTTAATGCGCATACAATACTCTGAAATTAAGTTGACTTCACTCGATCTAATCTGCTTCCCCCGGCCGATATCCTCTCTTTATAGCGAGAGAACGACGCGAGATAAGCAGGACGACGAACGACGAGGAATTGACGAATGAAGCAAAATCGTGAAACACGATTGGAGCGAAATACGTTGAAGGGGCAAAAGTATATTGATAAGGGACAAATATCAATAACCGAACGTTAAGTGGCGATTTCGCGGTTCCTGTCGGCAGGCTACGGCAGGACAAGGCCGGCGGCGCCTGGTGTCCGCGCAACATGGTGACCAAGGAGGGCAAGGAGTACCTGGAGGTGAACCTGCACAGTCCGCGGCTGCTGACATCGACCAGGACGCAGGGCAGATTCGGCAACGGCAACGGGATCGAGTACACCGAGGAGTACTTTATCGAGTATTGGCGGCCGGGATTCAACAAGTGGGTGCGATGGAAGAATCGACGCGGCAAGGAGGTAGGTACCATCTGGCCGGGTCATCGATCGAATCGCGTCCCGAGATTTCTTTCCCGGGGGACCGTAAGCCGAAATTGACTGCGCGCGGGTCTGCCAGGTATTATTAGGTGATTCCCCGAATTTCTTTATCGGCGTCTCTCGACGGGATACGTGAGTCTTCGCGGAGCGAAATTCGCGAACGAGATTGCGATAAGGACGCTTTAGATGCGTCTTTTTTTTTCTGACGAAGACAGAAGCATTCCGAGTCTCGTCGCAATCGCGATTGCCAGCAGGCGATCGGTCATGACCGACAGTCGAAAGTGACAACACACGTACGGAGAAGAAACAATTCTCTTGGTGTAACCGAATTTTCCGTTGCCTGAGGACCAGACGAAAACTCGGTCCCGGGAGCGGAGAGATTCCTGCAGGAGGTCTCTATTCGGTCTCGATCGCTCTCAGGTATCTCAATCGAATTTTAATACATATGTTCGGATATGTCGAGTGTTTTCGGCCGTGGTAACGAAGCTGTCATTTCTCATCGGTGAGTTGTCGAACCCGAATATGCTTCTTTCCGTGTAATAATTTTAATGATGATTAATGACGGGCGTAACGATAATTCACAGGCTGCGCTGACGGCAGAGGAAATTGCAACCGTCGTGAAATTTGTGGATCTGATTGGCGTATGTCCTCAGATTCGGCCACGGTTAAGAACGTGTGCACCAATCATCGAATTTGACAACAGCAAATTTGCGAAGCGGCTTTCTCCGCTGAACGCTCTCATTTACATTTGCATTTGCACGCGTGGTTAATTTATCGAGCTGATACCTTGTTAAAGCCGTTGTATCAGATGCATGTTGATCTGCTAATGTCTATCGATTGATAAATCTTAACGTGAAATTGAAAAGTATTGTCACCACACACACACACACACACACAAGGGGTCGATTATCGCGTGATTGTTATCGCGTTGTTAATATTATTACGTTCGTGGTTATAAACAAAACACACCCGCGCCGAAATTCGATTCTTTTCTACGCTCTCTCCGCGCCAAAGATTTTTACGCGAGCGGCCGAGCGTGGCAGGAATCGAAGATGAAATATTGGAAATCCGCGGAGCGAAATTTATTTTTACGCTAAGAGATCTCGTCATTTCGTGTCACGTTGCGAAGACAGATTGATCGATACAGGACACATACACACACACACACGTACAAAATACAACGCGCACAGTTGGTATATGCAAACGAACGTATAGCGTTCGCTTGCACTAATCTTGTCGCGAGTCGCAAATAAATATTCGTTCTTTCTGATGTAGGTACTCATATATACCGGGTGGGACAATAATTATTCTATTACCTCGTATATTTCGCCCGAGAGAAGAACGAAGGTTTTTCGACTCCCGGGTTTTCGAAAATATTTCACTCAGGAAAGAATTGTCACCGCCAAGAGAGAGACCATTTTCGCGGAATTTAGTCCAACTAAAGTTACCCTGTACAACTTTTGTCGGATAAATTTTACACTCCGAGAATACTCACGGTGATATTTTTCGATCTCAACGGGACTCTCTCCCGTCCCGTTAATTATGACATAAGCGGGATATTAATCTCCCTATCTCGCTCTTCGTACGTCGTGCCACACATGTCGGAACGACCGGATGGGAGAAGGGTGGACGGGAGGAATTAGCGGAATCCATACGTAACGGCTCGATTTCCTGGATTTAACTCAAGTTCCCTCCCCTGACTTATTCAACGCAGTTACAAATTGATAAAGCCGCCTGATTTTAATCCGATACGCGGACCGAGGATACGGGGACGTAAAATAGCCTCTTCGTGTCCCCTTTACTCTCTCTTATCTCGCTCTCGTTTGCAGCGCAAAGCGCTTTACGATCTGCCGCTTAAATCTTGATACGATAGATTACGTGAGAATTTTACGGCCGCTCCCCGCACGCGGAAATTCGTCAAATTTACTTAAGGATTTATATTTGCTCGCTGTCCAATCACTCTCTGTCTCTCTCTCTCTCTCTCTCTCTCTCTCTCTCTCTCTCCAATCACTCTCTGTCTCTCTCTCTCTCTCTCTCTCTCTCTCTTTCTCTCTGCCGCATAATCGCCAGCGACTGCACGGAAATACGAAATGGCGGTTTTAGCGCGGTTCCGCGAGAGACAAAAGCGTCCGACCTACACACGCACCACGGACATTAATTTCATCTCCTTTCCGGCGAAAGTCGCAGCGCGTCCCCGGCTAGTGATAACACGATCGCTTGACCCGACGGGCCGACACTGACACGGACCTACTCCACTGCCGAGGAATGGCCCGCGACGATTCGCATTCCCGAACATTTGCCCTGTTAGCCCTCCCAATGTCCTCTAATGTAAATTTAATGGCAAAGTTATATAATTATGCAACCACTTATGCACTCTTTGAGAAACGAAATTTTTACGCTTCATTAAAATTGAGCTGGGAAAAAAAATTCTCGTGGGGAGACTAATCGAGCAGCCAGTCAATTTCCTTTTTATAAATAACAAGGCAATTATCAAAATAAATATATGAAATCTACTATGCGCTTTCAAATTAGAATAGTTTCGAGTTTTGCGTCGCAGTCCTCAAGAGCCCTTCCTCTCTCGAGGCAAAAGACATAATTGAAAGAAAGCTCTCGAGACATGAAACGAAAATCAAAATATTGAAAGTAAACCAGAGACAGTTGAGAACTCAATTATCCAACCTTTAATATTCTGGTTTTGATTGCCGTAAGCCTTTTTCCTAAAATGAACAAGAACGATAAGTATACAATTTCGCCATTAAATAATAATCTTCACATTTAGTGGGGAAGGGCTTGCAGATGCGGTTCTCATGTGAGATGGAAAAATAATAATGTCAATGATATATCGCACGCCCCAACATTTCTTCAGTCGCTAAACTTCTGTCGTACTCGCTACTGATCATCATTCTTGTATTCCTCGACTAGTTACTTCCTCGTTTTCCCACGATATTCCCTCACCACATGCGTCTGTCTTCTCAACGTCGGATCGTTTTCAGCGACGTGTCGTGTTTCACGGAACGTAAACTCATCCCGATTGTTCATCCCGGTCACAAAACTCGCCTCGATCGCGTCACCCGCGGCGTCGCTCCCTTCCTCCTCCCTCCTCCTCCTGTTCCTGTTTCGTCTCGCCGCGGGAGACGGAGACACAAGCGGCGATACACGGTCGTGGCGCAAATGAGAACCGCTGTCCCCAGTTGAACGGCCATTACTGGATGCGACGTGTTAATTAACGTCTCTTTAGCATGATAATCCGTACGCGATATCCATTAGCCCGTCAAAATACATCACGGCGGTTAAGCGATTCGCTCGCGGCGACGAAACTATCCGCACGCGCGGGCAGACCGGCGAAAAGGCGGGTGAACGAGAAGGGGAGGGAGGACGCGGTTCCGTGGATGCAATCTTGAATTCACGCTGTGCTCTGCCGAGTAAACAATTCAGCCGATGGCTCTCCTTCCTAAAAAGAAAAAAGAGAGAGAGAGAGAAAAAGAGTCGGATGCTGCGCGGCGTGTGTTATTGAAGTATCGGCGGATAATTAATGCAACGAGTCTCTCACTGGCCGCAATAAAAAGAAAAACAGATTCCTAGAAACAATTTCGGACTCGATTTCAAGTTTGTGCGTGACGCGCGCCCTGATTTCTCCAGCGAAATTTTCCTGTCTCTCTAATGCCTCAAAACCAAACGCCAAATTTGATCCAACCAGCGTACAATCCTCGAGCCGACCCAGCGCATCGTTGATCGGTTTTCTTATTGGAGCAACCAAAAAAAATTGCCGAATGTCACCGACGATATAATTTATAATAATGCGAAAGAGTACGAAAAATACAGACGGAAAACTGACGACGTTGAGACGAGTGACGAGTCCACGGGAATATAACTTCGTCGCGCGAACTAAAACGATAAAGCCGATCGAATTCGGGCAGGTGACAATTATTACGAGGTGTATAATACGTGCACTCGGCCCACCCATAAGGTCCTTTCGCGCAAGGAACCTACGCGAGGAACTTCGCCAGAAGCGGCGAAACGACCCGCCTGAATAATTCACGAGCGCGGCGAGGAAAGAAGTTCGTGCTAAATCGATCAGGCGGCATAATTGAAGACGTTAAATCGGTAGTTAACGCTGCGCTATCGGACGTCGAGCGCCGCCGCCGCCGCGCTACAGCTATTATCTTGCGAGAGCCGCGAACCACGGCCCATCGGCAAATGGAATTTTAATGGATGCGCGATATACAGCGCGAACGCGCGTTTATTCCGCTCGCCGAAACGACGACCGCGCTGGAGAGTGATGATCAATCGTAACGAGCGCGGTTACCGTTTTTCCTGACTCGCTTACCATTGCATCTTTATTCCATTTATGAGAGAGAAAGAGAGAAATTATTTGGGCGCCCTGAGGCAATTCCCTCGAGTGTTATATACAGGGAAAAGTTATACATAAATAAAAGATAAAGCAATATAATTAAAGATAATAAGGGGGAGGAGGGAAACACAGACAGAACACATCCGCTCTTTTCCGACAGCTTTTGACGAGAGAATCGACTTTTCCTCATCCTCTCTTTTCTTTCTTTGCTTACTTTTTCTTATTTTCTCTCTCTCTCTCTCTCTCTCTCTCTTTTCCTCTCTCTCCTTCCCTTCCTTCCTCTTCCCTCTCGCTTTCTTTTCATCGCGTTTCATCGTTTTCGCGAGTAATATAAAACCCGAAATTGCGTTTCTTCGACTCGCTCGCGGTGCGCAGATTTTTCTCCGTTCGTAAACATCCACAAATTTCCTTTTGCTTACTCTCTCTCTCTCTCTCTCTCTCTCTCTCTCTCTCTCTCTCTTTCTCTTTCTCTTTCCGCTCTACCTCTCACAATGCTCGTCTTCTTCTTCAGCCTCCGTCTTTCCCTTTTTCTCTCTATCGCGCGCGCGCTCGCTCGCTCGCTTGTGCTTCTCTTCATCATCCGGCACTCAATCTTTCCGCGAGCGTTACTCAACGTCGCGATATGATATTA